ACTTGCTCCATGACAGAAGCTATGTCCCTCCCCCAGTTTCAGTTATTAAGTAAATTTACTTTAAATTCATTATTTTAAAGCCTATTGATTACCTAACTTGTGACAAATTACTTTTCTTTGACCGAGTATTTTGGTTTGATTTTTATTTTCCCCAAATTACAGTATCTTTCTTTTTATGCCAAGCCTACAAATATGAATAGTTACCAGAGAGACATAATGGATATTTAGGATCTGAAAACCCTTTGCTGTACACTGACATAATACAATCTCTAAGCTAACAACCACTAAAATAATATACACATATTAACCACTGCATCCAAAGATTAATAATCCTTAAGTCTCTATATACCAGGTTTTCAGAGGAACCATTACAAAATTAATTGCAAATAGGCTTGATGCACCTTAAAATACAAAAATGGACCCCTAAAAAGACCTATCAAATTGTCACATACCCATCCTTCAAAAATCTTTGTCTTGCCTGCAAATGTCTATAAATTCACTTTAGATGCTCAAGATTGCCCTACTATTGAAAAGAAACCATTTAGTCTTCCTTTCTCTGACGTGCTGAATTCTTCTAGACTCCTATCATGACAGTCCCTCTAGCTCCTCTTTTCGGCATACTTCTCAAGTTATTTCTTCTCTGTCCAGAAACCATTGCAGAGAGCAGGCATTTATTTCAGGATACTCGCACTGTCCTCCAGTCCTCAGCTGCCCATCCGGGCGCTGTCGGCCGTCGACCCAGTTTCCCCCCAAAAGTCTCCGGTGTGCTATTCCCGATGTTGTTATGGGGTGGTCGCTGGGGGTTCGGGAGCGGGGACCGCGCCTTCAACGGAGCTGCAATCCTAACCCGCCATCTGGTGGCATTTTCCACACGCCCGACTTTTATTATTTCTTAAGAAGTATTTAACGACATTCTTATTGTTTAGCATGTGTGTGCGTGCTTAAGTGTGGTCAGAGGTCTAACTTGCAGGAGTCGGTTCTCCTTCCAGCATATTGGTCTAGGGGCTAGAACTCAGATCATCAGGTGAGCCATCTCTCTGGTCCATATGAAAAGTTTACAGTAGCAGAACCAAGGAAATTATAAATCAAAAGCATTTATAAAAAATAAACACCTTATTGGAGAAGGGCGTTGATGGCTCATGCCTTTAATCCTAGCACTCAGGAGACAGAGGCAGGTGGATTTCTGTGAGTTCAAGGTCAGCCTGGTCTACAGGGTGAGTTCCAGGACAGACAGAGCTACATAGTGAGGCACTTTCAAAAAATAACCAAAAATAAAAAATAAAAATAAAAAAATAAATAAAATAAATAAAAACAAAATAAAATATCTTAGTGGAAACATCAGGTAAGGGGGGGGGGTTACACCCTAGCTGTGAAGTCTCTGTCACAGGCTCCAGATGTTATCAGATGGCATTTTTAATTTGGGGAGGTAGTGAAAGCCATTGACATGTCAGATATTACAAAAGAGATTTGCCTAGTAGCTGCAGGAATGGATATTAGGCCAACTGCAGAAGTGAAGAATGAATGCTTATTAAAAGAGCTAAAACCAGCCCAAGATAATTTGTCTGCAGACCTGCAACATTGCAGCATCCCAGCTCTCTACAACCATGGAAATTTACAGCTTTATATTATAATGGGTGTGACTCCTGCCATTTCCCAACTTCAGTTCACATCGGTGATCACACACTTTTAAAGTAATATATTTAACTTTACTTTATGGGCATTGGTGTGAAGGTGTCAGATCTCCTGGAACTGGAATCACAGGCAGTTGTGAGCTGTCATGTGGATGTCATGTGGATGCTGGGAACTGAACTCAGATATTCTAGAAGAGCAGCCAGTGCTTCCAACTACTGAATCATCTCTCCAGCCTCTGATCTCACCTTTTAAACTTTCCCTAAACTTGACAGTGTTCAGAAAATCCTAAAAGGATGTCTAAGGACAGATTACAAACCCAGCCTTGGGTAATCTCAAACCCATCAAGAAATTCTAAGAAAAATTGTCTTTATAGCAATGCTATCTATACCCCACAAACCAAGCTGTTGATCTTGGTAGGGCCATGTCTCTTGCATGGATACCAGAGAAAAGAATGAGCCTAGGACTTGAGTGCTCTTAGTGTGATGGAATATTGCCTTACCCCCTCAGGGTTCTTCCAATCTCATCTTCCAGTTGGTATACAAGGAGAGTCCCCTGGAGCCCCTGTAGGAAATACTCACAGATGTGCAAAGTTAATGGCGACTACTGTTTCCATTGTTTTCTATGAATTCACGAGTCTCTAGCTCAGTGGTTTTCAACCTTCCTGATGCTGCGACCCTGACCCCACCCCACCATAAAATTATTTTCATTGCTACTTCATAACAGTTTTGCTACTGTTATGAATTGTAACGTAAATATCTGTGTTTTCCAATAGTCTTAGGTGACCCTGTGAAAGGGCTGTTCAACTCCCAAGGGGGGTAACAACCCAGAGGTCAAGAAGCTCTGCTCTAGCTGATCAGGTTGAGGTTTTACTGTAAATGGAAGCAAACACTAAACAACTAGTTTTAAGTGCTGGGGTATGTGGTTCAGTGATAGAATACTTAATATTGGGAAAGTCCTGGGTTACACCACTCCTGTGTCTCAAGTGAGCAATAATTTAGGAAGGTAAACACTTGCTTTTCTCCAAAGGGCAAGCTTGGAAGGCCATCCAGGATTGCCCCCTGAGGCACTTGCTCCTTGACCAACTTGCCATTCTCAGTGTGTGTCTACTACATTCTGGCTCTGCGTGGTTCTTCAACACCAGTCTACACTCCAAAGAGGAGAAAAGGGGGAAAGGGAAAGAGGGAGTGGCTCCTACCACTAGAGACACTATAAACACTGCACGAAACCTACAGCTGTAGTTCCAGAATATAGTCATGGCCATACCCAGCCAGAAGAGGGCTCATCTGCTTGGTCTTTCTATCATGGGTTTTGCCAACTCAGACAATCTGTTTCTGAAGAAAGGAACACTGGGGCATTCATACCAGTCATTCACCTCTGCTTCTTGACAAAAATGCCTAATCTCTCTCTCTCTTTCTCTCTCTCTCTCTCTCTCTCTCTCTCTCTCTCTCTCTCTCTATCATTTATCTATTTATCTATCATCTATCTATCATCTATCTTTCTATCATCTGTCAATCATCTATCATCTATCATCTATCTATCACCTATCTATCTATCATCTATCTATCGTCTATCTATCTATCTATCTATCTATCTATCATCTATCTGTCTGTCTATCTGTTTGCTTATGTGGGTGAGTGAATGCCACAGAGTGTGGATGTGGGGGACCAACCAAGAACAACTTGTGGAGGAGGTGGTCTCTCCTTCTCAAAGTGGGTCCCAAAGAGCAAACTCAAAGCGCCAGGTTTGGTGGCAAGTGCATTTACCCATTGAGTCATCTTGCCAGTCCCCATAAATGATTCTTTTCACCTCTCTGTAGACCAGCCTTCGGTGTTAATAAATTCTGTCTCAGTTTCTAGGATGAGTTAAGAACAAGATAAGTTCTTAGCCAATTCTGTGAGCCTTTTCCAGTAGTCAGCTTGGCTTCTGGATCTTAAGTCAGATTCCAGGAGAGAACACTTGATTGGTTGCATCAGGCCAGGTGATCACAATCTCAGTCAGCACTTTGGTAGCAGGATACCGCTTTAGGGTGGGCTAGGGCAGATCTCTAAGCTATATGGTGTAAGGGCCTCTGCTAAGCCTTCATTGCAACTTTCCTCTAACTGCCCTCTGCACTGTGCGGGTTGTCTATTCTTAGAGCAGGGGAGGGGACAAGGGTAGGGTCTAGGGTGGAGGTGGCGGTTTGTTCCTGTCTTTAGCCCATAGCCATAACCATAACATCAGATGCAAAATGAGCAATCCAGTGTAGCCCATAACTTTACTGAAGTTGAATATTGGATAGACTTCAGAAGAAAGTATTGTCAAGGGCTGTTCAAGGGCGTATGTGTCTTGACTCTAGTGGCAGAAGCCATTTCCCAGAATTACCCAGCTAATTGTAGTTTGTTTTGATTTGTTTTTGAGACAGGGTCATTATCCTTACTATGTAGATCCACCTACCTCTCTCCTAGGTGCTGGGATAAAAGCACTCAGCACCCAACACCCAGCACCAGCCTTTCTTTTCTTTGTTTTCTTTTTTCTTTTCTAGACAGGGCCTCATGCATCCTGGGTTGGTCTCAAAATCCCTATGTAGCTGAGGATAGTGCCCTGGACTAGAAAGATGCTCTCCCCTGACCCAGTCAGGGTATTATCCCAGAATTTGGGAGACAGAGGCAGGTAGTTAGATGTTCAAGGCCAGTTTTTTACTTGCAAAGTGTTTGAAACCAGCCTGGACTACACAAGACTATTCCGAGAGAGGGGGAGAGGAAGAGAGAAAGACAGAGAAAAAGGCAGACAGACAGATGGGGGGATGGTAATGGGAGAGGCACATCTATAATCCTTAGCACTTGGGAGGTCGAGGTAGGAGGATCAGGAGTTCAAGGTTATCCTCCTTTATACATGGAGTTGAAATAAGTTTACATGATCTAGCCAAACACACAAGCATGTATACATGCAACACACACACACACACACACACACACACACACACACCACACACACCACCAACAGCAACAACAACAACAAGCCCACAAAAACCACCTTACATGTGGCCCACAAGAGTCCAAGCTGGATGACAATGACTGTCCTGCCAGTCTCTTCCTGTGTCATCATTCCTGCCAAAGCTCCATGCTGGACCCCACTGGCAACCAGTACTGATCAGGCCTTGGCCAAAGTGAGGCTCTGCATGCAGGGACACTCAAGGGGCTGGACTGAGGGCTGAGGCATAGGCAGAGGTGGAGAGAAAGGCAGGGAACCATCTTAGTCATTTGTCAGACTGCTGTCTGGGAACACCAGCTGCAGAGAAAAGCTGATGTCCCCTCCTTTCCACATCTGTGCCCACCACTTGCCTTCCTGCATGCCTCACTACACTTCTGTTATGTCACCTGTCCTTGCAGGCATCTAACCCTTTGTGGCAATCCCGGGGCTCCTCAACTGTATCTTCAGGAGGTCGTTTCCGCTGCCCATCTTGCCGGCATGAGGTTGTTCTGGACCGGCATGGGGTCTACGGCCTGCAGCGGAACCTGCTAGTGGAGAATATTATTGACATCTACAAGCAGGAATCCTCCCGGTAAGATACCTGGCTGCTGACCTCTCTGGAGGGAAGAGCCTGCACCATCAGGGATAGAGAGGTTGTCTTAGGGTCACCATTGCTGTGGTGAAAAACCATGACCAGAAACAACGTGGGAAGGAAGTGGTTGATTAGGCTTATATTTCCACATCATAGTCTATCACTGAAGGAAGTGAGAACCAGAAACTCAAACAGGACAAGAACTTGGAGGCAGGAGCAGATGCAGAGGCCATAGAGGGGTGCGGCTGGCTTGCTTCTCATGGCTTTCTCAACCAGCTTTCTTACAGAACCTAGGACCACCAACCCAGGGATGACACCACCCACAATGGGTCAGGCCCTCCCCCATCAATCACTAAGAAAATGCCTCTATGAGCTTGCCTACTGTTGTGCCCAGATTCTGAATCCCCAAATCACCAAGAGACCCATTCCAATGCAGAAGCAAAGAGTCTCTTATTGTTGTTTAACGAGCTAACTGCATTAACTCGGGCCTCGGGTGGATGGCAGGAGAAAAGACCCAGAGAAACTGAGAGGCAGAGAACTTAGTGAGCAGCATGAAGGCACGGTATGCAACAGTATCAGGAGATTGGTGCACTTCCGGGCTCGGACAACCTGCTCTGTGTTGATTGGTCAACTGGTTGTTATGGCCTGGAGGCCCTCCCAGGGCGGTTGCTATGCTGTGCACGTCACTGTTGTACCACTGTAAAGCATGCCCAGAGCCATAAAGCACATCCAGACTCCTGGAGCTAACTTCTGAGTGGTTCCTTACCAGGAGGAGAGCATCTGGCCTCCTAGTGACTAGGGCAGGCCCAGCAAGGTCAGACACATGCTGAGTCAGAGGTCTACATGTCTTTTCTGCAGCCTGTCATGGCTGCTAAAGCAGGGGACTGGTCCCTTTACCTACAGTCCCATTTTATGGAAACATTTTCTTAATTGGGGTTCCCGCCTCACAGATAACTTTAGCTTCTATCAAGGTGACATAAAACTATCCAGCTCAGGGGTGGGTACACACACGATGGGGAAAGGAGTGGAGCCAGAGATGAGGGGATTGGCCTCCTGCCCAGGGAGGCCTGACTGCCTCTGGAGCCAGTGCTCAGTCTTACTTCCCTGGTCTGAGACCAAAGTCCACTGCAATATCGTTGAGCTCACCAGCTGCCATAACTCCCTGTCCTGTGGGACATCTTTGCCCCCTGCAATGGACTCTTCTTGGGCCCAGTCTTCCTTGGAGCATGGTCACAGCCTGACTCCCTGACAATTGCTGCTCCCTTGTCCATGGTCCTCAGGCCACTGCACTCCAAGGCGGAACAGCACCTCATGTGTGAGGAGCATGAAGATGAGAAGATTAACATCTACTGCCTGAGCTGTGAGGTGCCCACCTGCTCTCTCTGCAAAGTCTTTGGTGCCCACAAAGACTGTGAGGTGGCTCCTCTGCCCACCATTTACAAACGCCAGAAGGTATCTAACCAGGGAGGGATTCGGGAAAGGGGTTTAGGATAGGACAGTTCCCATTCTACTTAGATAAGGTGTAGCAGATCAGAGCCAAAGCACCAGATCTATTCCAGACTCGGCACATAACCTTGAGGATGTCACCTGACCTCTCTGTCCCTGGCTTCCTTCATTTGTCAGACAAAGTGAAAATAATGGTTGCTGTCACCGTAGCATTATAGCATAATGCATGACAGCAACAGTTTCAATGTAGAGCACTGGGTACCCTCAAGTGTCTTAGTCATGCAATCAGCTTCTCCATATGCTGTCATTTTAAGATCAAATTGGTTGGGACATGGGAAGAAAGGGGATCCTATGAGGGCTGGGGAGGACAGGGTCAGAGAGCCACTGCAAGCAGATTAGATATCAGTTCTCATGTGAGCAATGCTGGTTAGAGGGACACAGCTATATCCCAAAACCTGCAAAAGGTGTGTTGGTAGGGATGGGTGCATTCTAAGACTCCAAAACCTCAGCTCATGTTGGAATCTGAGAATACTAAATCAGTCAATTATATCACCAGACTTGTGATAGAAACAAATGCAAATTCTCAGCTGGAGGAAAATCCCTTCAATGTAGACCCACAGGCTGACCTTAGATTAATATCAACGGAAGTGTCATTCACAACTGAAGATGTGTAGAGAAATGTACTCCGTGAGGGCAGTTAGCAGGGACAATCACAGTTCAGATCCTTGGGTGTTGAGAGCTGCAGGTAGCAATGGCTTTACCAGAGACCACAAGAATATACAGCAGATGGCAACTGATAGTTCAGGTGTCGGCCACCAGATGAATAACTCTCTGACGGAGAAAACCTCATCAAGCAAGACTTTACAGGGCCACAGACTGTGAAAACTGGTTGCTTCTGTCTGTAATTTTTCTCATGTGCCACCACATTCCTTCCCTAAAAACAGCTATGGGTATTTTTCCCACTGCCTGTGTGTTTATCTTGTGTACATATTCCATCTCCTGGGCACACATATAGTTGTGCATGGTCAGGAAGATGATTTCTGCTTAACTGTACAATTTTGATGAGTAGAAATAATACTAAGATATTTTTCATAGCTCAGACTAACATAGGAAAATTACATTATTCTCAGTTACAAAAACAGCTTTTTACCGCATTAGCTGATTTTAGACCTCAAGACAAATTCAAAATTGACTAGTTGTCCTTGCAAAATATGCATGAGATCAAATTCCCAGGTATGTATCTGTTTAACCAAAGTCAGGCTGATATCATTAGGACATAACTCCCTGCAAAAATTAACTTTCTGCAATACTCCTAACCTCAATTTTATGATACAAGGCTCAAGGTTCAGCTAACTAACTGTTTATTGCTTAGGTTCTGAATTTAGTGTCACTCTCCATGATCTCTCTCAGACTACAGGCAGATAGGCTGTGCCTCCAGACTGCATGGCCAAGTGTTGCCAGGTTACGCATTTCCAGCTGGTCAGTGTGACATTCTAAGCCCGAGAAAATTTGTGATTTCTTGTGTATCAGAATGGCTCTGTCTTTATTATTTACTCAAGAAATGCTATGTGACCCTGAAGATGTGATTTATATATTGTCCAGAGTTTGTTCTATGAGGAAGTGTGTGAGTGATTGTGTGTGTGAGTGAATAAGTGTGTGAGTGTGTGTGAGTGGAGGTGTGTTAAGTGAGTGTAGATGTGTGAGTGTAGTGTGTGAGTGGATGCATGAGTGTGAGTAGAGGTGTGTGTGAGAGCCTGTGAGTGAGTGAGTGGGTGAATGTGTGAATGAATGTGTGAGTAGAGGTGTGTGTGAGTGAGTGGTTGGAAGTGTGTGTGAATAGTGCGTATGAATGAGGGAGTGAGGCAGAAGAGAGATGTAGCAAGTATTTGAAGAAATGTAACAGAGTAGAGAGAAGTGTGTATAGAAGAGGGATGTGTGGAGAAAAGAGATGAAGTGCTATGTAAAGAGATGTAACTGTAGAGAGATTGTCAAGAGGTTACCATTAGGAAAGCATGTGCTTCCTTTTTTTCCCTTAAGTTACCACCAGAATTACTGTGTCCTCCTCTAAGACCCTCAGATAGATATTTTTCCTAAGGCCCCTACTGTGAAGGCATTCTTTCTGCAGCTCTGGGTGCAGTCCAGGGAGCTGGCCTCTTGGGCTGCAGTACTTGGGGGATTCAGATGTTGGAATTATTGAAGAACAGAAAGTCACTATGCACAAAATGTTTTTAGAATGTGGAATAATGGCAGGCATGGTTGAGCACTCTGCAGTTCTAGCACTTAGAATACTGAGGCAGGAGGATCTCTAGTATGAGGCCAGCCTAGGTTACATATGGAGTTTCAAGCCAGTCTGGACTATATACGGAGACCTGTTATTAAAGAAAAATAAAGATGAAATAAAACAACAACAAAAAGTAGGTTTGGGGATGTAGTACATTTGTCTAGCACAAGATCCAGGATAGATTCCCAGGACTGAAAACATACATGTAAAATGACCATGAACTGCCTGTTGTGGTGGTATACACTGACTAGGGAGCTAGGGCAAGAGGATCTTAAGTCCAAAGCCAGGTTAGAAAATATAGGGAGGCCCAATCCAAGGAAAAACAAACCAGAAACAGACAGAAAAAAAAATAGATTTGGCAAGGAACCAAGTAGAGATTTTAGGAATTAATAACTGTTGAAAAATCAGTGGCTGGATCAAGTGATAGATTTCTCACAAGAATTGACTACTGGATCAGAAAAGTGCAAACAACAAACAAACCCAGAATGCACCAGGGAATGGAAGGCTGAGGATGACAAGGTCTAATATAAGTCCTGTTTGACTCACAGATTGACAAGGGAGGCAGTGTTATCTGAATGGGTAGCCCTAAGAATTTTTCAGAATTAGTGGAAGACATGCCTACTGATAAAGCATCTAGACCTGAATCTGGTACATAGTGGGTGATTAGAGAATGTCATTTCCCTTCACATTTGGGGCTAGGAGACTCTTAAAATCTATAGAATGCGTTCCCATGTTTCTTGAACTATCACAAGCCTTCTAGATATTTTCTGTCTTTGTTGATGTCCTTGAATGAGTGAGGTGGGGACAGCTCCATGGGATTGGGGGAAGCTGCAGCAGGCTGGGGCTTCTGGCTCTAAGAACTAACCCATGTGTATGACAGAGTGAGCTGAGCGATGGCATCGCAATGCTGGTGGCAGGCAATGACCGTGTGCAAGCAGTGATCACGCAGATGGAGGAGGTGTGTCAGACCATTGAGGTAAGCATGGGATGGGAGGACAAAGGGGACAGAATAGTCAATGGTCTGTCTGGAGACCCTGGTAATCAAAGAGAACTGTTCCTCTTTGACATCTGATCAAATGTCCAGAAAGTTTCTAGACTCTGGCTCATGGTGGATTGTTTTTAGTTAGGTTGATCCTCAGCAATGTTGATCAAGCCTCAGCAATGTTGCTTAAATCTTCTGTGCTTTGGTTTTGCTTGTTTTTTGACCATATAAAACAGAGATGACTAGTGGGTGGAGGGAGAATAATCACAAGTTCCAGGCCAGCTTAGGCAAGTTATGAAGGGCATGGTAATCTGAGACAATAATGCCAGCGCTCTGGAGGCTAAAGCAGGACTTCTCATTTAAAGTCCATTTGACCCATCTCAAGAATTAATGAGTGGGGATGAAGAGATGGCCCAAGTGTTAAGACAAGGTACTGCTATTGCAGAAGACCAGAGTTCTGTTCCCAGCACCCACACTGCATGGCTCAAAACTGCCTGTGACTCCCTTTCCAGGAGAATTCAATTCCTCCAGCCTCCACAGGTACCCACACACCAAGCACATGTACCTAATTGGAAACAATACATTAAAGTCGTGGGAATAAATAAGCAAAATTTAAAAATTAAAAGATAAAAAGAGCCTGGGAGGCGAGACTAATCAGACATTATATATATGTATGAAACTATCAATGAATACATGTAATTAACAATTATGTGATGAGAAATAATTATATGCCCTTATAATATAGTTAACTAAATATATTTGAATACTGAGACAACATTTCCAGTTCATTACTTTCAGAAATTTAGATTTATTGTTTTATTTTCAATTATGTGTATTTGTGTGTGTCTGTGAATGGGCTTGTACACATGAGTGTTAGTGCCCAAGGAGGCAAGAGGAGCTTGTTGGATCCCTTGGGGTCACAGGTAGTTGTGAGCTCTCTGGCATGGAGATAGGAACAGAATTTAGGACCTCTGCAAGAGCAGGGCACACTAACAGAGGAGCCATTTCTCCAGCTCTCTAACCAATGTCTATATTTTGAAATAAGGCTTAATTTCATGTCAGAGCAGCAAATTAAGTATATAAAACTCAAATAATAATTTAAAAACCCGATGCTGATAGTGGCAAGGTAGCTACCTCGTTTTATTTATTTATTTTTTTAAGAAGCAAGTGGAAATTAAAGCAAAGCAAAGCCAGGGCCAGTAAATACATGGCTCCCAGAGTAGCTTTGAAATGTGTTGTCATCATTGTTAAACAGATCTGAGCTGGATTCTGTGCCCCTAACTCAAGGTATGACCTCAGTCACACTTTCCTCCTTGTCTTTTCTAAGTTCTGTGGGGAGAGGAATAAAATACCCTGCTCTGGCAACTCTGGGGGTGCTCGGCCGCGACCTCCTTCGGACTTGCTTTGATTTTCCAGGACAACAGCCGCAGGCAGAAGCAACTGTTAAACCAGAGGTTCGAGACCTTGTGCGCTGTGCTGGAGGAGCGCAAGGGCGAGCTGCTGCAAGCGCTGGCCCGGGAGCAGGAGGAGAAGCTGCAGCGTGTGCGGGGCCTCATCCGTCAGTACGGAGACCACTTGGAGGTTTCCTCTAAGTTGGTGGAGTCCGCCATCCAGTCCATGGAGGAGCCGCAGATGGCTCTCTACCTCCAGGTGAGCGGAGAAGGAGGGCCGCAGGCACCCTAGGTGGCAGGAATCAGATCGGAGGGGTGGGGTGTCAAGTCTTACCTGCTTCATTTCTTGTTACCACGACCTGGGAAAAGTCACCCTTCTACTTGTGCTCTCCCCTTAACGAATTGAGATAAACGCCCCTACCTACCCCTGCAGAACTGGTGAGAATCAGAAATGGGGCTTTGCCCGGGCTCGCCCAGCGCTCACCTTGGCCCTCCTTTTCTCCCCTGCAGCAGGCCAAGGAGCTGATCAACAAGTAAGCAGTCTGCGCGGTGGGAAAGGGACTCTCTGTGGATTCTTTCCTTCCGATCTGGGGAGGGGCTTGCGGGAGCGGAGGAGTTCCCCTGCTGAGCCCTGCGGTCGTCGCAGGGTCGGGGCAATGTCGAAGGTGGAGCTGGCAGGACGGCCGGAGCCAGGCTATGAGAGCATGGAGCAATTCTCCGTGAACGTGGAGCACGTGGCCGAAATGCTGCGGACCATCGACTTCCAACCGGGTGAGGGAGCCGAGGAAGGCGCTGTTCAGACCCGCCCAAAGGTATGAGGTGGACGCTACAGCCAGAGGAGCAGGGGCTCCGCATCACCTGGCCTGCCTTCCACCTAGGCGCCGCGGGGGAGGAAGAGGATGACGAGGTGGCTTTGGAAGGAGACGAGAGCAACGCAGGGCTGGAGGAGGAACGGCTGGACGGGCCAGAAGGTGAGAGGTGGACGAGGGCTTTGGGTCGAGGATTGGTTAGCCAGCCTTGGGAGGTTGCCTTCTCAACGGCATCAGGATTTGATGGTAGCCCGGGCTGGGTAAGTGTCACGCTACAGGAGCCGCAAAGCGCGCCCCCTAGCGCTCGCGGAAAAGCGTACTCTTCCCACTGTTGGTTTCGCACGGCTTTGGGGACCAAGGTGGGTCCGCGAGCAGGAGAAACCCAGCTGCCAGGGCAAAGCTGACCGTCCGGGGTGTGTGCGGGGGGGGGGGGAGGGTGCTCTTCTGGAGCACCGGCCCACCAACCTGCCTTTCCCGGGAACAGGCCTGCACTGACTAGACCCTGATTCAGAGCGCGAGCCCGCAGTGGGAGGCAAGGCATGCTGAGGCTCTGTTCAAAGACCACCGCGCAACCCAGCTGGGCGTCCCGCCCCCAGGAAGGGTCTCAATAAAGGACTCTAGCGTCCCACATCCTGGCTTCTTTCCCTGACCACTCCAAGTGGAAGCAACTTCGCCATCAGTCTGCCCTTTTTCAACCCGAGATCATTAGAAGGGGTGGAGTGAAATAATAACCCTCTCTGGTGGGCACCTCCTTTACAGCAGAGGTGGATTCCTGAGCCCGAGAGCTCAAAAGTGGTGGGACCTTTGTTCTGGGATTTGGACTGGCTGGAGGAGGGGCGATGAGCCCCCCCAGGGACTTTAACTGATAGCCGACCTCTCCCACCCCACTTAGCATGCTTGTGTCTGCTACCAGCCTGGGGAGCCCCACTACCCCCAAAGTTCCCACCCTTCTGTAGTTCCCGTTGCCCCCCACGACAGAAGAGAGAAGCTAAGTTCTTGGGCAGTTTTATTAAAAAAAAAAAAAAAAAAGTCACGCAGAGTGCTCAGGGTGACTCTGGGCGGCGCTGCACCGCGGGACTGAGCCAGCTTCGGTCGCGTGAGCTTCAGCCCCGGGGTAGGTAGGGAAAAGGGTCGAGCCTTTTGGGATCCCATACCGGGCCGGTCACTTGCCCACCGCGTTGAGTATGATGCGGTTCTGCTCTGCGCGCTCGCGCTGGCTCTGTGTCCGGGCCAGCTCCAGCAGGGTCCGCAGCAGGTGGAATGTGAGGTCGATGGACAGCGGAGGGTCGTCCCGTCGCTGCCGCTCGCCTGCGGTCGCCAATCCCGCGCGGCGCGGGAAGCGCTCAGCTAACAGCAAAAGGAGCGCACGGGCGCCCCCGCCCTGATTGCGCGCCCCAGGACTCCATCGCAAATTCGGATCCTGGACCCCGGTGGCCGCCTCAGTCGCCAGTCTCCACTGGCTGCTCCCGGGGCTCAGCTGTGCCAGGAGCAGCAGTGCCACTAGGAGCGCAGCGCGTCCACTCTGCCTCATGGTGCCGCCTGCCCTGGACACATAGGGTGAGGTGCGCTTGGAGCAGCCGCAGGTGACACGAGCCCCTTCTCGAGCAGTGCCCCCCGCTGGGACCCTCCAGCTGTTGCCTGGTGTCCACAGCCTGCCCACCAGCCCCAGCCCTTTCTCCCTCCTCCCCTCCCGGCGGGTCACAGTGGGTGGGCTGACTGAGGTCTTGGTGCTAAGGGAGTCTGAATCGTTGTTCCGAGCCACTCACAGGTTGTTGGAGTGTCTGCCCGGTGCAATGGAGCTCCGGTCTCTGTCTCACGGGGCGGGCTGAAGACACCTTGGGGAGCACGGGGTCTATCCCGGGACCGCCGCCAGCCTTATATAGCACCAGGACAGCTCCGACTGACGTCAGCGAAGAACATGGACTGATTGTAGAAGCAAAGACAGCGGCAGCTTCGAGTCCAGCAACTTCGAGCCCCCAGAGGGGCGTGCATCCTGACCCTGGAGTTAGCTTTGGAAGCTGCGTGGCTGTAGGGAAGGAGAAGCAGGCTAAAGCATAAAGATCGCTCTTGCCAGATGCAGAGCTCTTCCCGCACACAGAACAGAGTGTGTCTTCAAAACAGGCTAGTCCGGGTTTTCTTTTCTCCAAGAAAGGGAAGCCCTCCCCACTACACACACCCACTCCCGGGACCATGGATCTGTCCATGGTTCTGAACTTATCAGCAACTGGCCAAAAGCTCTGGGCAGAGTCCTGTGCTGCTTAGACACAGTCCCTAGGCTGTCTACCGAGTCCCCAAACTAAGATCCCGAATGCTCTGCCAGCAGGGACAAGACCAACACAGTCCCACCCGAAGGCCCTCTGCCCCAATTGGTCTGTCAGGGTTCCTGACCATCTTACAGCAGCAGAATCTAAAATCTACAGGTGTCATATTGCACATGATACAAAAAGGTGTTTGGCTTTCAGAGCGCAACACACCGATCTATCTTTCTGAGTTTGACAAAGTTAGCCTTTCTTCCCGGGAACCACAGCAACTGTACTACTATACCTTTTAACCTTCTACTTAAGATCACTAGGTAGGAAGTGAGAAAACTTGGGCTTTAGTTCCTGCTCTGCCATCAACTCATGATGTGATCAGGTTCCTCACTTCTGGAGATGTTGGTGTCGACCTTTGTAAATAAAGGCCAGGCTTGAATAGCTCCACTTCTTTCCAGTTAAAGACATGTCTGTAGTCTTCTGAAGGGTTTTATCTATGACTGCTGCCGATTCCAGATAATAATGTATTTATTTCTGTGTCCATAAAGAGTGTCTCAAAGGGCAGTAGGACCCAGAGAAGTTAGGATGACATGTTCTGGCTAGGGATGTAGCTCATTGTTAAGAGTACTTGACTAGCATGCACAAGGCTGAGTTCAGTCCTGAACACTGGACAGAAAGATGTCTCTGTAGGAAGTGAGGATGAGCTAGGCAGCAGTGGCGCACACCTTTAATCCCAGCACTCAAGTAGCAGAGGCAGGTGGATCTCAGTGAGCTGGAAGCCAGTGTGGTCTACAGAGCTAGTTCCAGGACAGCCAGGGCTACACAGAGAAACTCTGTCTCAAAAGTGGGCATAAGTATTTTTTTTGGGGGGGGGAGAATGAGTATTAATTGTTGGAATATGGGTGTAAAGTTGGAAAGGTTATATTATTCTATAAGTATTTGTGGAATATATACTATGTGGTATAGGAATAAGAGTAGTCATGCTGCATAATGACCTTTTAGTTGATGATGACAACTTATGTAATGGTGGCTTCATATAATCACAACAGAGTTGATACGTTCCTACCATCTAGCAACATTAGTTTTCATGTTCAATTCATTATTCATGTATTTGTGATGATGCTGGTGGAAACATACTATGTTGCCAGTAAAATGAAAGTATGGCCTGTGCAATTATGTACAGCATGTACAACTTAATGATAAGAGACAATGTTACTGGTTGGTGAATTTGCTATATTTATCATTATTTTAGAATTACTTTAGAATGTCCTACATATGAAAGAGCTCCCTGTAAAATAGAGTACCTACCATGTTACACTGGCAGCAGGGTACCGCTCACGTTTTCCGCATCTCACTGAATCCAGAGGCCATGTGAAGCACCTAACTGTTGTTCTCTGTGTAAGTACATTCTATGATGTGTACACAATGACAACATTGTTAAAGGATACAATTCTCATAGTGTGTCCCCATCACTAAGTGCCAGAGGGACAGACAATGTTATGAAGGTCTTGGTGATTTCAAAAGCAGTTACATTTTTAGAGTGAAATGTGCCATTTCAGATCAGCAACTTCATACCATGGATACTGACAGACTCTCTTTGTAAGAAAGATTTTATTTTATGCTTAAATATGAGTCAGTGTCTGTTCCCGCACATGTGGGTGTGAATGAAGGTGCTTTAGAGGCCAGAAGACATCAGATCTCCTGGAGCTTGGGTCACGGGTGGTTGTGAGCCACGCGATGTGGCTTCTGGGAACCAAACTTGGATCCTCTGTAGAGCAGTCCATGATCTTAGCAGCTGAGGCACCTCTCCAGTTCTGATGTACACCCTTTGAGGACAATGTCCAAGCACACCAGGCTAAAGGTGCAAGCCATGGAACCAGGGAGGCTTAGAGCTGATGTGCCTTCCAGGATAGGTAGGAGTTCCAGACAACAGCAACACACTGGACAACAGCCAACCTAGGGGATAGGAATATACTGTGAAGAGGATGGGCAGGGTAGGGAGAGTAATGGAAAAGGACTTACAAGTTGTAGATTTGGGCCTCCCTTTGAGCTCCGTGGAGGAGGAACTGTGTGGTTTGAACCAGGGAACAACCAGTCCTACCTCTCAGAAGAAGGCCTCGAAGCTAGGATACCCCAACAGCTCACTGATTTCCTTACTAGTTATGCATGTGTGCATGCACACACATGGAAGTCAGAGGGCGACTTTGGGAGTTGGTTCTCTCTTTCCACTATGTAAGTTACAAGGAATGAACTCAGGTCATTGGGTTTGGCAGCAAGAGCTCTTACCCACTGAGTCATCTCACCAGTCCACCAGCAGCCCTCTTTCAACAAATGACTCGTCATCCATGCCTCTATCTAGACCTTTCCAAATATATCTGTACACCTTATACCAGCCAAGATTTCATTCCCAAAAATAATGCACTGCCTGTAATATAAAGTAGCCATATATATATTCATATTCACTCTCAGGCTCTCATATAGTCCAGGCTAGTCTTGAAGTTTTATAGACACTATGCCACCAAAGGCACTCTTGAACTCCTGATCCTCCTGCCTCTGACTCTTTAGTTTTCTTTTTTTCCTATTTAAAATTATTTTGATTTCACTTTATATTCCAACCACAGTTCTCCCTCCTACCTCTCCTCCTCCCCCTCACCTCACCTCTAGCCCACCCCTATCACTCCACCTCATGGGTCATGATGGCTCCCATGAGGTGTCAACAGTCTGGCACATAGTTGGGGCAGGGCTTGGCCCCTCTCCCATGCATTAAGACTGAGCTCCATAGGGAATGGGCTTCAACAAGATAGCTCATTCCTGAGAATGTATTGTGGTCCTACTGCCACTGAGCATGGCTAGCTTTGGCTACATAGTGAAAACTCACTATATAGCTCTGGCTGGCCTTGAACTCCAACTGCCTTTACCTCTGAGTACTGACCAAAGGCATGGACTACTCAGCAAAACATTTTTTAAATCTCACCCCTCCCCCGAGACAGGGTTGCTCTGTGTAACCCAGTTAGACCAGGCTGACCTTGGACTCACAGAGATCTTCCGACCTTGCTTTAGTTTCAAAGAGTGCCACCAAAGACTCTGATGTTTAGGATGTAGCTCACAAAATCTGTATTCTTTTTAGCTAAGTTATCTGTGTAACTGTCAACTTATCACCTCTTAACTGTTTCATACTTTTCTGTGTTTTCAAGATCCCTCATCTGTGAGCATTTTCCCAGCCCCTTTTGAATGCTAGTCAAATTTTTTAATTTAAGATTTACTTATTTGTATGTTTATGGGTATTTTGTTTTCATGTATGTATATGCAGTGCCCATGGAGGCCAGAACAGAGTGTAGAATCCTCTGGAACTGAAGTTACAGTTGTGAGTCACCATGTGGGTGCTGAGAACCAAACCTGGGTCCTCTGAAAGAGCAGCAAGTTCTCTTAATCACTGAACCATCTCTCCAGAATTTATTATTATTTTGGTTTTTCAAAACAGGGTTTCTCTGTATAGCTTTGGAGCCTGTCCTGGAACTCGGTCTGTAGACCAGGCTGGCCTCAAACTCAGAGATCCGACAGCCTCTGCCTCCCAAGTGTTGGAATTAAAGGTGTGTGCTACCACCGCCTGTCTTTTTTAAATTGCAGTTCAGCCATAAGCTTTATTACTAGGACAAAATAATCCTCCAAGGGGAACTAACCAGGCTTCCAGTTGGCATTTGAGTCTACCTTTTGTATACCTTAGGCTGCCCCTGCACACAGCCAGGCACTGTCCCTGCAGGTGAGCCACTAAACATGGAACTCAGTTGGGATGGAAAAAGGTCTGGGAGCAGAAGCCCCCCTGTGGAGCTGACAGGTTAGCCAGGGCAGTCTGAGGTAGTCTCCCTGAAGGATCAGAGGTTCTGAATGAAATGCTGGAGACTCTCAGGAGGCCTAACCAGGACACAGTGTGGCTGAAGACCTAAATTAGGTCAAAGGGTGAGATGACCATCATTTTGTCTCCACCTGGGAAAGAGAGATCTTCCGTCCAGGGCAAGGAGGTATCTGTCATACCTGTAATGCAGGGGGACCAGGTAGAAGTTGGCTAACTGAACAGCAGGCCAGAGCTATAAGAAGAAAATGTGAAGGTCAGTAGGTGCCAGCTACCTGACACCCAGACTCCCTGTCCTGCTTGGCGCCATTCCACAGTCTACACATAAGAAGAGACTGAAGGTGGGTGCTGAGAGAACCTTATAGAGGGGCCCCAGTCTAGGGCATTTCTGTACTAACGGAGGCAGAACAGCTAATGGAGGGATAAACTCTTACATAGTAGTTGGTGATGAGGGCATCAGGGTAGTCCTGCAAAGATGGAGGGAACAGTTAACACTCATATATCCAAGCAGCTGCGACATCTCTGCATGGCTCTGTTCCAAGAAGACACTCCTGCCCCAACTCCCCTAGGCTCCTTTCCTCCCAAGCCCAAGACTCCTTGCATATCACTTGTGTCTGTCTCCTCCCCTTGGAGCAGCTAGCCTGCTAACCCAAGAGCCACTTACCCGCTGTAGTTTGGCCCAGTTGTCCTGGGCTGACATTCCATTGAGCATCCCTACCAGGGGGAGGAAACAGCCTAGAAAACACGGGGCAAAGGCCCCCTGGGGAAGAGGAACAGATGAAGCTGTGAGTGTCCACAGCCCCGACCAGGCTCTCCTCCCCACCCCCTTTTCCTTAGCTCACCTGGTCTAACACCATCTTCTTAAGTGCGTCCACCTTGGTGGTACCAGGAATAAAGCGGTCCAAAACCCTATACCAGCCTCCAACTACAGGGCCCTAAGAGTAAAAGACAAGGCAGTGGGCACAGTGACAGAAGTCACCACATTCCTCCCCAAGGCAGCAGAAACCAAATCCTGAAGAAGGCAGACTCTAAGGCAAAAAGAGGGCACAGGCTGGCCTAGGTGTGAGAGGCCAATGGAAACTACAGGATGGCAGAGAACAAATTCCACTGCCCAAGGCCCTGTAGTCCCACTGTAAGTATAACTTACCACAAAGCCACAGCCCATGGACACCATGGTCAGAGTTCGGCCTGTCTGGTGTTCCTGGAGACCCCGCCTCTCCACCAGTTGCTGTGAGATAATGTCACCTAGGCCCATCAGTGACCCTGTGCAGGGTACATAGGTGTTGTCAGGACAGCTCCCTAAAGGCAAGTCTGTTGACCAAATGAGGCTCCACACTCTGAGACCTGGGACCTCACTCTGGCAAATGACCAGCCCCTTCTTGCTGCCTTGAATGGATGGTGACATCTCTCATGTGTCCTATCACAAACTGGATGAGGAGTGGTAGTGCATGTCTGGCATCCCAGCACTTGGAAGGCAGAGGGAGGAGGATTGCTGAGTTTGAGGCCAGTCTGGGCTACAAAGGGAGTCCCAGGCTAAAATGAACCATGAAGGAAGGGGAAGTGGGCAGCAGAGAAAGAGAGGGAAAGGGGAGTCAGAACAACACAGGAGATGAGCAGGCCAGAATCTATGAACATACAGTAAGCTGTAAAGGAACCAGGGCTGAAACCCCCGATAGAAGGGAAACCCAAGGTCTATAACTAAGAACCGTAGAGACCAGAATTGAAAGGGGCCCCCAGAATGTTCAATCTAAACTCTTATTCCAGAGGCGTAGCTGGTAACAGAGAGCTTGAGTCCTATACAGTATTCCTTTGAGGAGCCCAACATACTAAAAGATTATGTGCAGGAGAATAAGGAGCAGCTAGACTCTGGACAATGTCTTTTGCTTTGGGCTTGGGGGTCCTTACTGGTAGAAAACAGCATGGATAACTTTTCCTAAAATATGCTCAAACAGTGCCAGAGAAGCAGTTGACTTGTTTTGATAATCAGGGCCTCCTCCACAAGGAGGCATCCTGGCCATCTATTACACACACCGGAAGACCAGCCCAAACTCTCCTTTCACACTGTTGAGTTGGCAACAGGACTTAGGGCCATTTCCTCTCAGACCTCTGCACCTGCTTCCCCTCCCCTAACTGCATAGACAGCCACTCCTAAAAGCCAAGACAGAATTGTAATCATCACCATTTAGAGCCTCCAGACTGTCATGATGGTGGCGTGATGGTCTAACAACCAGTCACAGGGCCGCTTGGGAGTGACGGCATGATCTCCAGCTCACCCATCCATCTCACTGAGTAAAGAGAGCCCCTCTAGCCCGAAGCCACCACTGTCCCCATGCCCTCAATTAGCACTGGGCAAACACATCCTTCAACTCCATTCCTCGGTCTGGCGCTGGCTCTGACGTCCATGCTGGGTGCATACACAGCTCTCTTGCCCACACCTCTCCTACAGACCAACCTAGTCAGAGGCAGCCGGGGAAAGCTAGAGCTGCTGATGGGCAACCCTAGGTGACCCGGGCAGCTGGACATCAGGCAGCTCTTCTTAGCATCTCATCAAGTCTCTGCTGCCTCTTTCCCCACGAATCTCCCCAAGTCAGACATGACCTCCCAAAGGGCAAGGTCAGAATTCCTAGAGGTTGGGGGGGGGCAGTTCGGCCAGAGTAGAATCCTAGATATGTTTGTTGTCATTCCCCACACCTAACTAAGTCCCTAATAGGTGCTCAAAAAATAGTCAAACTAAAGCTTACAGCCCTAAGCAATGAGATTGCTTGAGGGAAGAGTACAAAGAACTCAGAGGTCAACCTGAGTATCGGGCACAAAGTGTTAGGGTGCAGGGGACCCAGAGTGTGCTCCCTGGTCCCAGTCTCTCTCTCTCTCTCTCTCTCTCTCTCTCTCTCTCTCTCTCTCTCTCTCTCACACACACACACACACACACACACACACACACCATGTAGCCATCAGCTGTGTGCTCAGGGCTCTCTTTGGTACTCTGCTGGAAAACACATGAAGGGAAAAATGACCCTCAGAAGGCTTGGGAAATGAAGGGACAACAGTCCACTTTGATAAGATGGTGACGGTTCACGAAGGATTCAACTCATCCTCACAAATGGTCTGGAAAGTAGGTAGCCAGATGTCCACCTAACTAAGGAGTCTTTGAAAGACAGAGTGACCTAGTAAGGAGTTGAGTTTGGATCAACTCAAGCCAGGGGAGCAAGGCCAGAGCACAGGCAGAGGCAAGCTCAGAGGCCATGGGCTATCCAAGGAATGCCTAAAGGGTGATTGCTTAGGGTGCTTTGATAAACTTCCTTTTGGGGAAATGGAAGTGACCCATTCAGACTCTCAGACAGCCATAGTACCACGGCACCTATTATTTCCTTTGCAGCACCTGTAAGAGCAGCAACAGTGAGGCTGGAGTGTGTGAGCATTGTCTGTGTTTCCCCTAGCCCAAACCTTAGGGTCCAGGTCCCAAGCCACACCCATCAAGCCTGAGGCAGAACAAGGTGACAAGCCATGTTCAGAACAATGAGGTGAGGAGGAACTCTGTAGGCCACCCAGGTCTGTTCATTTCTGACATAACAGCACCCTGAAGTTTATCTTCTGCTCACAGGAGATTACAGCCACTGGACCTGCAGCAACTCCAGGATAGCCAAATACTTTGGTTCATACCAAGAGCAAGGCTTGCATTCCTGGTCCAAGTGAACCTTCAATAGGAAGGGCTCAAATATCCAAACTTTTAATCCTATTTTCTCCAGGCCAGAACCCAAACACCCAAACCACTCCACTATCTGGTTAACCAGGATGGCAGAGTGACGTGCTTCCTCTCCTTGAACTTGAGAGTTGGAAGTCTCAAAACACGTAATTCCCAGAGCCCTGGTGGGACAGGGTGAGAGGTTGCTGGGCAGTGGTGCCCCAAAGCCAAGCTAGGCACAGAGCCTACTGAGTAGACACCAGTTCTGAGTATGACATCATGCCTCTGGGTAGATGCCAGTTCTCATTCGTCACTCCCCACTGGATCCAGGGGTGGGGAAAAAGATGCTTGGCTCTGGACACTGGTCTATTTGAGACCATCCCCTGCCCAGCAGTGGAAAAGCCCCAAGTTTCCCACTCTCTTCCAAGAGCCAAATCTCCTGCTTTTCCCCTTTGTTCCTATACTTGCTTTTGGAAAGAGTCTCAGAACAAGAAAGTATAGTGTTAGTGGACGAGGAGGTGCAGATGGGCAGGAAGTGGCTTCTCCCTGGAATGAGAGGGAGCATGCCTTTAGGGTTAGGAGGTGGGGTCTGCAGGTAGATATTCCCGGCACAGAGCCAGCAGTGCTGCTGAGTAAGGGACCTCCCAGCTGGTGCAGGAGTGTGACTTGACCTAGGGCCCAGAGGCAGCTGAAGCTCTATTGAGAAGGGGAAACATTCCCTGGGATGGGTCTAAGTCCCACTCCACTCCACAAGTACCCTATCGAAGGAAATGACAAAATGGCCAGTTCTGTAGCTCCCTTCTCATGTCTAACCCAGCTGGGCTGACACTCAGGCCCCAAGGAAGTCACTGCCTACAGTTTTGCTGCTCTGGTGGCCTGCAGAAGATGGACCTGGGCCCTGGGCCCTGGGCCCACTGGAGACTGGAAGAGCCCTCCAGAAAGGAAGGGTTGAAACTGACTCAGACTGCAGGGCATAGTCAACCTTTCCCCCAGGCTGCCCTGGTCTTGACTCTGGCTTGGCCCAAAACATGGTGTATTAGCCACTTCCGCTGAACCACTGTGGATCTTGATTCACCTGCCTCTTGCTCTAGTTATGACTGCAGTTGAAACAGACAGGCTTCCTTCAAGCCTGGCATACCTAGCTAGGGCCTTCCTGTCAATGCCTCTTTGGAGGAGTTAAATGTTCCTTAGGGTGAGATGCTGACCAGTGTGGGATGGAAGCCCGTGGATTAAGGCGTCTTCTCTAGAAGTGACTACTGATCTGATAAGGCATTTCCAAATTGCTTCTGAGTTCCAAGGTATGGAGCCACAAGGGGTCCCAAAGGGTTTAATAATGCACCCTTCAAACTTTCTCTCCCTCTTGCCCTCAGGAAGGATTGTTGTTTTTAATTTCTTTTTTATTTTTAATATGCATTGGTGTTTTGCCTGAATGAGGGTTCCCCTGAAACTGGAGTTACAGACAGTTGTAAGCTGCCATGTGGGTGATGGGAATTGAACCCAGGTCTTCTGGAAGAGCAGTCAGTGCTCTTAACTGCTAAGCCATCTCTCCAGTTCCTGGAAAGTTTACTTTCTAACCAGCACCATAAGCTTCATGGCTTTGCTGTAGGGAAAACCAAGGCTAAGATACTTATCCATAAGCTGGGCATAGTGTAAGTCTATGACCTAGGCAATTGAAAGACTGAAATAGGTGGACTGATGAGTTCAAGGCTAGCCTGAGCTTCACTAAGAGTTTAAGGAAAGCCTGGTGAAGCTCTGACTGGAAAAAAAAAATAGCCCTGGAATAGTGGCACACCCCTTTAATACCAATAAATATTGGGGAGGCAGAGGCAGGTGGATCTCTGTGAGTTCAAGGCCAGCTTGGTCTACAGAGAATTCCAGGACAGGTTCCAAAGCTACACAGAGAAACCCTGTCTTGAAAAACTGAAAAAAAAAAAAAATCACAGGAAGGTTATTGTACATTTTAAAAAGTCCCAGTCAGTTCCAGGAGAGAACTGATCTCATACTTGTAATCCATGTGTGTACACATGCACAATAAGTAAAGTAAGAAAAAAATCAATAAAAGATTTTGTAAGGATAGGTGCTTGCCTAGCATGTGTTGAGCTGTAGCTTCCAACTTTAGTACTGTGAGTAAATAAATAAATAAATAACACTTCCTTAGTTTCTTCTCAGAGATAATAATTCCCATAACTGACCTTTTAAGTTCTAATTGAGGAAACTGAGGCCCAAAGAGGTTTATTGACGTAGACTAATTAGGCAGCTACTAAGTGCTATGTTCTGAGATTCAGATCTTGGCCTTCTAGTTCCAAGTCTGAAATCTCTGTTCTATTTCCCAGTGTGAGCTATCCCATGGGACCTCTGGAGCCACTGTGCTCAAAAAACAGTCCAAAATGGTAAGGTGAGCTAGGCCCACCCCACTCTTTATTTGTAGGTTGCTCCCAAAGCCTGAGCAGCAAGGAAGAAAGTCTGAGAGCAATGTTATGAGGTTACAGGTTGCTTCAGGACCACAAAAGGAGGCAGCAGTTTCAGGAGAAATATACATCTGAGAGCCCAGCGCAAACACACCAGGCACCCCAGTTAACCCACTTCTGCACTGTGTCTCTTGAAGCTTTAGTTCCTGCCTTTGTCATCTATGGATCATTTAGGTAGGGAAACATGACTGTCCTTCCTCTCCATTCTTGATGGCTGCAAAGGGGGACCTTCTCACAGGCAGGTAGGGGCCATGAGGGAGTCTGAGGCTGGGCAAAGGGCCCAGCGTGTCAGTTCCCATCACAGCCACACTGTCCAGCATGAGTCACCACACACTCAGCCAGGTGAGTCATGCAGGCCGGACACTCTGAGGACAAGAGGTGGATGGGCACAGGATTCTGTCAAGGAGCTAGGGAGGAGTAAAGGAGTCCGCCTCTCGGTCAGTAGTTTCTAATGCTCATGGAGGGCTATTCTGCTAATGGGACCACTATCCTACCCTGGCCTTTAGCCTCCCTCGCTCTTTCAGAAGCCCAACAGTCTTCCTTAGAATGGGGGTTCTTTCTCTAATCACAGCCAAGGTGTGTTTGTGACTGGATCCCCCACAGCACTACTCTGACAGTCAGAGAACTAATGATGCTTCCCTGTCCTGTCTCTGTGTACTAGCTAACCACCAAAATGGTGGTGGGAAGAGCCACTTCCTCACTGGGTGAGGAGTGAAGGGCCCCAGGCAGTGCACTGTTTGATAATATGTATGTAAAGAGCAAGCAGTGCCAAGGCCAGGCTCAGCACAGTGGTCATGCAGCCAGCTGCGGTGGCTCACAATTGCAGTTTCAGCAGCCAGGAGGCCCAGATGGGACTACTGCAAGCTCACGGCCAGTCTGACTACATAGTCAGGTCAGCATGGACTAGGGTGTGACCCCTGTCAGGAACGAAACTGAAACAAAGGAGTGGAATATATGAGCTAATAAGGAGAGGAACTCAGAATCTTAAGGCTGAAAGTACTGATCCAGAGACATTCAGTGTGTGATCTAATATGGACTCAAGTAATCTAACAGACCTTTGGAGGTCCCTGTGACACAGTGCATGTATATGAAATGGCACACTATGAAATGTAGGAGGAAAACATTTAGCTTCCCAAAGTAGGCAGTCTCCTGAGGGCGATGATTTTAAGAATGGACTATTTAGGCCATTCAGCAGTGGCATACCCCTTTCATCCCAGCACTTGGGACAGGGGAGGAGACAAACGGATCTCTAAATTGAAGACCAGCTTGGTCTGTAGAGTTCCAGGACAGCCAGGGTCCCGGAACAAACAAACAAAAAGGATTACTTAGCTTTGTGACAACTTCAAGTCTTACTGGACAGAACTGTGTGTGCATCTCTTTTTTAGATATATTGTTATCACTTTTAAATTATTTTAAATTATGTGTATGTGTTTGGGGGGTGCAAGTGAGTGCTGGTGCCCCAAGTGGCTGGAGGTGACAGATCTCCCTGGAGATGGAGTTACAGGTGGCTTTAAGCCACCTGACAAGCGTGCTGAGTCCTCTGCAAGAGCAAGTATGTACCGTTAACCTCTGAGCATTCTCTCTAGCGCCCCAGTGTGTATATCTTAGGAATAGCTTTGGGACGTGCCTTCCAAAACTGACAGTAAGGTGCCATAATATGGACTCCTTCCTCAAGTCAGCCACTCTAGTCATACCTTGGTCCCAGAGAGACACTCACCAGCTGTCAGAACCTGGACTTTCCACGGATGTGCAGCCAGGGCCCTCTGGTATGCCCGCCAGAGTGCCATGCCTCCTGTCGAATCAAGAGGAGAAGTCACTCCCACAGCCCCTCCTCACAGTAAGCCTGCCATTTCCTAGGCTCACTCTCTCTACTTTCAGAATATGCAAGTGACAGGCCTCAGAAAGGCTGCTTACTGGGCAGTGTCCTGCCTCGTGGCCACTTTAGACAACTGGAAAAGAGACAATCGGGTAATTTTAGAATTCCCAGAGGCTGCCTCTGCCACCCCAAACACGGTCCTGAAGCAAGGCTGCCTGGGGCCCTCCAGACACGAGGTCAGGTTTACTCTAACTTCTATCCAGAGTCAAGGTTCTGGCCCCGCCCCAAGTAAACACGATAGGTCCCCAAATTCAGGCGCTTTAGCTGGAACTAAACCGCATCCTGAGTGCAACTCCACACCGGAAACAAACCACGAGTTGGGTCAGGAAGGTCACATGACTTGCAGGAGCTTAAGGCCCACAGCATTCCAAAACACTGCCAATACTCCACTCACCTGAATGCCAGCACTGCGTGGAATTTTCCCCCACGTGACTGACGCTGGCCAAGGAACTTCCGTATCGAGCCCCGCCCTTTCCGTCCTCGTGAAGCCCGTCGTTTGTACACTCGCAGTCCGGGAGAAATGGAAGTCACTGGGGCCCTAGATACTGTACCGTGGCTCAACCGGCCACACAGTGGGTTGCCTCCTTCTCATGGTTTGCACCAAACACGTGTGGGGGTCCTGGTCTGTGCTCTCCTATGACTTCTGGTCCCGGGCTCCCAGCCCAGGGTGCCCCACTATCCCAGCCTCCCGGAGCTAGCACGGTCTGCACTCCCTCATTTGGAAACTTGAATGCTGGACTCTGACTTGTTTTTGTGCTTCATACCAAACAAAATGTTAAGCTTTGTACGAAATGCTTTCCAACACGCAGTCGACTTCCACAAGGTCCACTGGCATAGCAGAAGCTGAGATCACCATTGTCAGCTCTCTGTAACGGAGGCTGCCCAGTCTTTGCCATAAGCTTGCAATGTGCCTACCAGCCAGAGACGTCCAAGAGGAGACCCAATAGAGCCATTTTAAAAAATGTGCTTCTACAGACATTTTAGGCAAAGAGGCATGCACCTGTTTGAAAAGCAGCTAGGGAACTAAGTCTCCTCCCAGCTGTTAACAGTCTTGCATTTAGCATCCCCAGGTAGGTAAGAAAGTTCAAGTTTCCTGTTCTTCTGCCTACCCCAGCTCATTTACTCAACTCCTATATGGGTACCGGAGGGTGATGCATTAGCTAGTAAAGAGAATAAGGGTTCAGTGGAATTCAGACTCCTGTGTACAGAACACACTGAAGGAATTTACACCCGACCAAATGTGCAAGCCTGGAAGTGTTTTTAAGCAGGAGTGTTTGGGATCAGATCTCAGTGCCAGTTTTTGGTAGTTATGTGGCCTTATTCAGACTGCTTAACCTCTCAGAATCTATTCATTACACAAAATAGTACACCTCATAGAGCTCTACAACATATGTAAAGCACCCTCAACAGAACAAATTTATCCATCCAGCCTTCTCTGAAGCACATGGAGTCCACCCTACCCCTCCTGGAAGACAAAAAAAGTTCCCTAGTGAAATTTGATGTGCTTTTGTTTTGTTTTGAGGGGAGGGTTATGGGGTGGGTGGGGACTGAACCAAGGGCCTTGTACATGCTAAGCACATGTCTTCTACTGAGTTACAACCCCCAAGCCTCAGATGAGATCTTGAAGGATGAACAGGATTTAGGTGATGCTGAGAAGACAACTGGAGAAGGCAACAAACTAAGCTAAGGCACAAGGAAGAGGAATGGTGATGGAAATACTGGGAAGGAAGAAAAACGAGAAAAGGCTCACGAGAAAGAACAGAGCAGAAAACATTGCCTGACTTTTCCTCGGAGTTCAGGAGTTCAAGATGAGGGCTGGCTCAGTACCAGGAACAGGGCTGCTGGCACCAGCCTACAACCTCAGCCTGTAATTAATTCCCAGGCCCCACCTTCTCTACCACCCAAAGTAGGGAAACATGGGATGTGCTGTGTCAAGGGGTTGCTCTGCCAGGACGAGCCAAGCTTCTCTGCAATGGAAGGCACTTCTTTATTAGTTCAAAAAGCAAGCCTGACACAGCCTGAGCTGGATCACAACAGAGTGGTACAACACTTGGCTCCTTCACACCAGTGTGGGTTGTGGTCCTTCTGCTGCTTAAGGACCTGAGGTTCCCACTGGCTTGCTTCCTCTTCTGAATAGGAAGGGACTGAACTACTTGATGCTCTTCTGAAAGACCTGGACATTTGACAAGTCTTCTATACTACTCAGGCAGAAAGCTGTTCCCAGATATGACAACCCAGGCTTGGGTGCTCTAAAGTCTAGGTTTTGTTTCAGGTAGTGCTAATCTAGAGTGCATCTCTTCCAAGAGGAAGTAGGAGACCTGTTTGTTTCCTGCTTCCTAAAATGGTCTACTTCCTTCCAAACTTCAGCCTGCACCCCTACGTGTCCCATGGCTGTGGTCTGGTGATTTCACATCACTGGGGCTGCCTGTGCTTTCGAGGCAGTATCACAGTCATGTGAGGTAAAGCTATCCACAAGAGGACTCTATCCAGATGACAGTACATTATCGGGTTCTAAATATTTTCTATACAGAGTTTAAACATGTTTAATACGTCAACAATGTGACCATATCATGAAGATCAAAAATCATGACTTGTAAAAGAATGATTGAAATAACTAAAGATATTTAATCTAGAGAAAAAAAAAATGGCTTGGAAACACATGATAGCTACTGTTATAAGTACTGAAAAGGGAACTCACAGGGAAGAATGACTAGATCTCCTAACACCCATTAGTAAAATTAATAGAGGTATAATCTTGACTTGATAGAAAGGAAATTTTTTTTCTTACTTTTTGGTTTTATAAGATGGCCCAGATTAATCGCAAAAATTGTGATCCTCCTGCCTCGGCCTCCCAAGTGCTGGGATTACAGGTATGCACCATTATGCCCAGCTTCAAAAAATTTAAAAACACTACTATCTAGGAGTGTTCAAGTAGTGTCAAGTGATCAATGATTGGGATTATTTCATAAGCAGGAGCCATTAAGAGCTGGCTGCTGTCCTACTGGGAGTTTATGGTGTTCCTCAGTTAAAGTATTATGAGCAGCTTCAGTCCAATAAATTACCATCACCCACATTGGGCCTGTGTGTTGGTTACTCTAAAGAGGAAGAACGGAAGGCAGTAACATCAAATCCTGGAAATGGACAGGAGCCTTCATGAACATATCCTTTCCGACTCTCCAAACACCCACTCACAAGTGGTCTCAAAAACACCCAGTACCTTTACTTAGCTTTACCTCCTTCACAATATGCTCAATATGAGCAATTTGACTCCCAAGCCTAGGTCAGGCCTGAGTGTTTCTTGTGAGCCACGGTTTTAGGCATAGGAATTGTTGTGGAGGGGGAGCCCCCCTACCTGCAGGGAGCTGTGACTATAGAAGTCTGTGGAAGGAGAGGGCTTTAAGGAGTTCTGGGCAAATAGGCCTAAAGATCTAGGCCTGGCACCATCACTGTCCAGGAAGGGCCCAGGTCCTATGCTCTGTGCATGGGGGCCATTTGTTCTTGGCAGATTTCAATCCAAGAGCTCTGTGTGGACCAGACTAGGGATTGGGGGAAAGGCAATGGCTGGCTGGAGAGAAACCAGGCCCTTCAGTTGAAAAGGAGGTTTGGAACATAGCATTGAAGTGGGCTCGGCTTTCAAGCTGCACACGGTGGGCCAGTGGAGAGGTGAGTCCACGGACAAAATGGATCCGAACCAGCCCTGACTGCCCCCCAGATACCAGCCATCCATAGGAGTCCAGGTTTGGGCTGAAACGTACCTGTGGAGAGAACAGAAAACCAAAAGGAGTCTCAGGGGTTATCTTAGGGTGACCCCTACCTGTCTGTGCTTTAAAAACAGGTTACCACACCTTTAGCCCCAGTACCCAGAAGGCAGAGGCAGATGTATGCCTTTTATCTCTGGAGTTTGAGGCCAAACCATGATAGCCAGGGCTACATAGAGAGATCCTGTCTCAAAAACACCCAAAATCAACCAACCAACCAACCAAATAATGAGCCACTATTAGGAGGACTGGACCATGAGAGACAGTCAATGAATGAGCTCTATATATCATGACCCAGGAGAGGGTGTCATGGCTGCTTCTCCTCTAGCCATCTCTGTTGCCTTTTAGTCTTCAATTCCACTGCTCACAGGCACACAGTGGAGGGTGGGAAAGCTTTGAGAGAGGCTCTCACCTTGTGAATAGCTTCAAGCTGCAGCCTGTCCAGGCAAAGCTGAGAGTGCCCCTCTCCTTCCTGCATGCGCAGCATTGGCTCTCTACGGAGCAGGTTGTGGAAGGAACTCTGGGGAACAGAAGTGGGATTCCTTAGCACTTCCTGTTATCTAAGGTTTCTATCTTTTCTAATGCCACACTGACTTGTAGATACAACTTACCAGATCTGTATCTTGAAAGAGTAAGTAGTGGTGATTGATGGTCTCAGTGTAAGTTCTCGCTTTGGGAGGATTGGGGGTCTCAGAGGAGGTTGAGGAGTCTTGGTCTTCAGGGCTGTCCTGGTAAGCTATCAGATCTGCTTTATATATGGGCTAGGAGAAGACCATAAGATTAGTGTCTTATATTCTTATTTTTTAATTAAAAATTCAAAGAACAACTTTTGGGCATCAATTCTCTATTCTATCCCATGGCCCCAGAGACTGAATGCAGTTCATACAGGCTTAGCAGCCAGTGTCTTCACATACTGAGCCATCTTTCTAGCCTAAGGTAGATTTCTTTTTTCTTTTGGTTTCTTCTTGTTCTTGTTTTGTTTTGTTTTTTGAGGAAGGGTTTCTCCGTATAGCCCTAGCTATCTTGGAACTCACTATGTAGGCCACACTGGCCTCAGAACTCACAGAGATCCACCTGCCTCTGCCTCCCAAGTGCTAGGATTAAAGGTGTGCACCACCACCTGAAATTAGACTTTAAAATACTGAATACAAAAGCAGAAAGTAAGAATAAAAATACACTCAAAGCCAGTGTGTGGTGATGCAAAGAAACACTGGGGCTAGCAAGATGGCTTTGGGTAAAGCTCTAGCTGCTAAGCCTGGTAACTTGAGTTTAATCTCCAGGATCTAAATGGTGGAGAGAGAGAAATGACTCCCAAAAGTGGTCCTCTGGTCACACATAAACCGTGACATTCACACCACAATCTCATACACATACATAATAATATGATAGGAGCAATTTTTAAAAACAGCATTCTGGGCACCAATAGGGCAGAGAATACACCTAATTCCTTCTCACAACGACCCTACCAGAGCTTGGAGACCAAGTGCTAGTTTGTATTCTACCATGAGTTCACAAGGCAAGTAGATTATGACCTGATAGATGGATGTTTGTATACTTACAAATCTTCTTTCTGCAGGTTTCTTGACATT